CTATAAATTTCTTGTAAGTGAAATCATACATTCTTTTATGTTTATTTCACTTAGCATAAGGTTTATAAAGTTCGTCTATGTTCAAAATTCAAGGTTCAGCTTTTATCACAATTTTGTTCTTTTTTAAGGCTGAATAACATTCCATTGTATGGATATACTCCATTTTGGTTATCCATCAACCCGTTAGTGAACATTTGGATTATGTCTACATTTTGGCTATTGTGAATAATACTGTTATGAGTATTAGTGTACAAATGTCTATCTGAGTTCTCCTTTTAATTCTTTTGGGTATATACCAGGAAGCAGAATTGCTGGATCATATGATAATGTTATGTTTAAAAGTTTAAGAAAATTCTGTACTATCTTCCACAGTAGCTGTACCATTTTACCATACCACCAGCAATGTATGATGATTCCAGTCTTCACATTTTCCCATTGCTTGTTATTGATTTATTTATATTTTTATAATAATCATCTTAATGGGTATGAAGTGGTATTTATTGTATTTTTTTCCTAATTATTAGTAATGTTAAACCTTTTTTCATGTTCTTATTAGTCATTCTTATACCTTTGGAGAAATAACTAGTAAAGCCTTTTGCCCATTTTTTAATTTGGTAATTTGTTTTATTGTTGTCGTTGAGATTTAGGACTTCTTTATATATTCCAGATATTAATCTCTTTTCAGATGTGTGATTTGGAAATAATTTCTCCCATTTTGTGTATTGCTATTTCACTTTACTGATACTGTTCTTTGATATGCAAATATTTAGAATCTTGATGTCCAATTTACCCATTTTTTTTCTTTTGTTGTCTGTTTTTTGGTGTCATACCCAAATCCAAGGTCATAAAGTTTTCCTCCTATATTTTCTTTCATGTATTCTAGTGTTCCTTCTATTATTGATTTCTAGTTTTATCCCACTGTGATTGAAAAAAAATTGTGTGATTTAAATCTTTAAAATGTACTTATACAGTTTTGTGACTAATTATATGGTTTATCTTGGAGAATGCCCCATGTGCACTTGACAAAAAAAATATAGTCTTCTGTTGTTGGATGAAGTGTCTGTATATGTTGGTGAGGTCTACTTGATAGATGTTGTTATTCAAGTCCTCTGTTTCCTTATTAGTCTTCTAGCTGTACTCTCCATTATTGAGTGTAGTGTTTTAAAGTCTCCAACTATTATTGTAGTTGTCTATTTCTGTCTATTTCTCCTTCACTCATCGTTTGCTAGATACATGTTAGAGCACTGATATTTTTGACCCCGAAATACCTTATGTGTTTTATTCTTTTTTTTGATGAGTTGAGCCTTTTATCAATATATATATTCTTCTTGTTTCTTGTAACTATATTTAACTTATAGTCTTTTATTTTCTGATATTAGTAAAGCCCAGGTCATTTTTTTTTGGAATGGTGCATTTTCCCCTATTCTTTCACCTCAAACTTTATATGCCCTAAGATCTCAAATGAGTCACTTACAGATGTATATAATTGGTTTTTTTTTTAAAATCTGTTTTATTGGGCCTCCCCGGTGGTGCAGCGGTTGAGCGCTGGGTTGCAAAGCTGCCTGCAGCCTCCGCACTGCCGTTTCGATCCCCGGCCACCGGGTAAGGGTCCCACATGGCGCACAGACCTCTCCTGCCGCCCACTGCTCCCCTGAGCAGTGTACCTCGTCACTCTACCTGTTCTACTCTCCGCTCTGGCTCTGCTGAATTCTCTCACCCTCCTGCGCCTCTGACTGTACCCAGTGCTTGTATAAATAAATAAATAAAACTTAAAAGAAAAATCTGTTTTATCTATGCCCTTTGGTGGAGACTTAAATTTATTTAAATTTAAAGCAGTTGTTGATAGGAAAGAACATATTTTACCATTTCATGATCTTTTGGTTGGTTTTATAACTTTTTTTGTTCCCCATTTCCTCCATTACTGCCTTCCTTTGTGTTCAGTTGATTTTTTTACAGTGATACATTTAGAATATCTTCTCATTTTCTTTTGTGTGTAATCTATAAATATTTATTTGTGGTTACCATAATCAACTGTGAGTTACTGTATAGCATCCTTTCATTTCGGCCTGACTTAGACTTAGCATTTCTTGTAGGACTTAGCCTTTCAGTAGTTTCATTACAAGGTGTCTTGGTGGGGGTCATTTTGAGTTTATTCCACTTGGAGCTCATTCAACCTTGAGGAGGTCGATGTTCATATCTTTTGTCACATTTGGGAAGCTTTCAGCATTTATTTCTTCAAATGAGTGCATGTACTCTGTCTCTCTCTCTCCCCTCCCCACTTCAGGGTCTCCCATAATGCATGTATTGCTTGACTTGATTGTGGCTGGATTTGATCATCTCAAATGTCCTATCTTTAAAATTCTCTTACTATTTTTTTCTGCTTTCTCAAACCTGCTGTTGAACACCTTTAGTGAATTTTCAAACACAGTTATTGTATTTTTTTAGCACCAGAATTTCTGCTTGGTTCATTTTAATGATTTCTTTTTGTTGAAATGCATTTTGTTCAGGTATCATTTTCCTGATTTCCCTTAGTTCTTTTTTGCCCTGTAATTAAATATTTATCTGAATTTGAAATGTTAAAGAACAATTAAAAAACTTCTCCAAGAACGTAAATAATATAAAACAATGACCATGTGGTAAAACTTAGTTCTTTCTTCCTTATTTCCTTTAGCTCTGTAAGTATATTTAAGACCGCTGCCTTAAAGTCTTTGTCTAGTTAGAATGGGGTCTATGTTTCTTCAAGAATAGTTTCTATGAATTTATTTTGTTCCTTTAAATGGGCCACATTTTTCTGTTTCTTTGTATGCCTCATGATATGTTACTCTTTTTGAAAATTGGGCATTTCAAAAGAGCAGCCTTCTCTCCCAGTCTTTGCAGACAGACTCTATAATGTGGTACTCCTCTACTTATTGGCTGGGAATTCTTTGAGACTTTAGATGAGCCCAAGATGGAAGTCTTAAAGTCTTCTCAGGCTTTCCTGAGTGTGTATCTTAGCTGTCCTGTTCTGTGGCTTTTTTGTTTTTTTTTTTTAAGATTTATTTATTTATTTATACAAGCAATGGGTACCGTCAGAAGCGCAGGAGGGTGAGAGAATTCACCAGAGCCAGAGTGGGGAGCAGAACAGGCAGATGGATGAAATATACTGCTGAGGGGAGCAGCGGGCAGCAGGGGAGGCCTGCACACCATGTGGGACCCTCACCAGTGGCCGGGGATGGAACCAGCGCTGTAGAGGCTGCGGGCAGCTTCGCAGCCCAGCGCTCAACCGCTGCACTACCAGGGGAGGCCCTGTTCTGTGGCTGCTTTGATTCTAGTGTGTACACAGCTATTTTTGAATGTCTTTATTTCCCAAAGAGTTTCACTCCAACTTCTTGGGGTCCCAGATGGTCTATTGTATGTCTCCATCTATAAGCTGCCCTAAACATCTCTAAGTCTCTCATCCCCCTGCATTTTTTTATAAGCAGCGCCTACTACTTTCATTACCTTTCCTACCCTGAAATCCAAGTTAGATGAAACAGAGACCATTCTTTCGGTAGTACCTAGACAGGTTAGAAAATACACTGCTAAAGGGAGCAGTGGGTGAGGCAGGAGAGGTCTGCTGCGCCATGTGGGTTGCTTCTGGCCAGCTGGGGATTGAACTTGTGCTGAAGAGGCTGGCAATAGCTTGATAGCACTGTCTCTAACCCATGCACCACAAGGGAGGCCCTGCTCTTCATTCTTTGATTTGAGGAAGTGATTTGGGAACTGAGCTGTTGCCTTCTCCAGACCAAGACTGCAAGCAAGGGCAAATAAAAAAATTTGTTTTGAATGTTTTACATTGGGCATTCATTTGACTTGTTTTACATTGGACATTCATTTGACTGTTGCAGACCTCTGACTGTCTTTTATAGTTTCTATAAGGTTATTTCAGTCAGTCTGTATGTGCTTTTTGATGTATCTGTGGGATAATGTGGGCCTGAAGCGTCCTATTATTTTGCCAATATACAGAAATTTATTTTTAGTCAACATTTTATTACAAAACATTTGAACATCATGAAAAGTTGGAAAAAATTGTACACTGAACACCCATTTACCCAACATGTAGGTCCTACAATTAATATTTTAGTGTATTTTCTTTAACAGAAACTTATCCATCTTTCAATCCATATTGCTGGATTTGACATGCTAATATACAAAACTTTTTTTTCCATCTATTTTCTAGCAAGTAGACTTTAAAACCCAAAAGCAGTACATCCCTGTGGTGATGGAGCATGGGTGTACTGGTGGTGGAAATTCTATGGGGACTATACCTGAGAAAAGAAAGCAAAAGTAAAAAAATGAATAATGAGGTAATATACATATAAATAAATACATTATATAGTAAAAAAAAAGAAACCCCTTAAATAATATAAAAAATAAAACATCTTCCCATCCCACTAACCCTCTTGAAAGAGGTAATCGTATTTAACAATTTGGTGCATATCCTTCCTGGCTTTTTTCTGTTACTGTATGAATTTATTACATGCAGTTTAAATTCTGCTCTTTCACTTAACACTTCCTCACAACATTAAATTCTCTAAAAACACGGTGATTTTATTTAAACTATGGAGAAATATTACATAGTTTTGGCTATATTTTTATTTTCTTATTCTTGGGCATACATACGAAATGTATTTTGACCATTTATGCTATCAATAAGGTTTCTAGTTATTAGTAGTTAAAATTTGGGGAGTCAAAAGTTGCACATGAATATTTGACTGCAGGTATAGACGTCCCTCACCCCACATATTTGGAGGGTGTACTATACCATGTTCTGGTTCATTTTTTCCATCCCAGTGGGAAAGCTGGGTTTCATTCTTTGCTTGCAAAACTTTGCTCATTATTTGACTTAATTATTTTCACTGATGAAAGGCCAAACTGTAACAGGATGGTCCCCAGGAAAGGGGGAGGTTCCAGGTTCCCTGCCCCACCCTAAGGAGGGTGGAGCTGAGCAGGGAGAGAAGAAGCTGCAGAGAAGACTGAGGAAGGAAGGAAGCAGGATGGAGCCAAAAGTAGACCTGGAGGAGGCACATGGAGCAGAGAGACATGTGAAGAAACCACACTGGGCTTTTGATCGTGGACTGGGTGACACAGATGTGGGTGAGAGTTCTGTGGGGATGTGACAATGTCAGCTTTTATCTTGATTTTGATTTTGCTCTTTTCCTCCTGGGCTTGTCTGGTTGTTTCCGACCCTTTTCTGTGGGTCCCCACTGGAAGGTGCTTTAGACTTGTGGCAGGCTTTGGGGCCTTGCTCTGGGCCAATCCCATTTGGGTGGACTTTTACCCACGAGGGGACGGGTAACTTTGGGTGCTTGATTTAGAAACTAGATTCTTTGCCTTTCCTGTATTGTTTCCTAATTGTATTAAAGTGCCTTCCCATTAAAGTCTCATATGTTTTGTGTTGATGTGGAGAATGGCAGAACCTATTGAGAGCAGGCAGGTTTGGGGCGTCTGGGGTGCTCCTCTCCCTGCCCTATAACAAAACAACTCACTCTCCTATGAAGTAATGGGAAGATCACACTGAACAACATTCCAACTGCCTTATTTCAAGTTGGTTACATGTACAATTAATTTTCTTCTGCTGCTTTTCCTATTAATAATGAAGAGTATGTACAGATGTTTATTTTGTGATGGCTGCAGCTCCTCATGTCGATCCTGTTATGATTTCCTTCTCAATTCAGACCAAACATACATGACATTTACCTCATTTGACCTCTTTCCTTTGTCTGGCCTGCAACAGAATACTTCCACTGCTTGAGTTTGACTTTTAAAAATCTACCCAAATTTTCCTTTTCTAGTATCTCACTGTCTTCCAACTGAATGATGCTTAAGAAAAAAGTTTTTGAAGGTTCTTATTATTCGTTTTCTGTCAGTCTTCTAATATTATTGATGGGAGGAAAAGGAACTTTTTTCAGATATTCTGGGTTAAAAATGTCCTATAGCATTAATTTTTACCTTTAAGATACTAACAATAAGAAGAGAATTATTTTTATTTTTTAGTGAAAAGAAATTTATTCCTTGGCTACTCTAGGTATTGTAGTTACCACTAACCTTTTCAGATGGAACCAATGCTTTGCAGTTTTACTCTATAAAGGCATATTTCTTTTCTGAGAATTATTTTTCATATTGGAAAAATGGGTGTAAATTTGTTATGCTTTTTTCTGAGGAAGGTAGTCCTGATCAAATGAAATAATACAGATAAAAGTCCTTGAAATGTTCAAAAGTGGTAGATGTCCTCTGTGAATAAGAACTTGTTATTAATAGTACTTACTATCATTAAGTTGAATCCCTGGCATAATTTCCCTTTAATTCTCACCACAACTCCATTATTCACGTTTTATAGACGAGGAGGTAAAGTAGTTCTCCTGGTAGCACACAGACACAACATTCGAGTTTGTCTGCATCTATAGTCTAAGTTATTAAACCTCATATTTTGTTCATCCCAATAATAGTATTGAATGTGCAGTATTGAATATGATGGGGCCTCCCTGGTGGCTCAGGGGTTAAGTCACAGTGCTATTAAATGTGATAATGTCACTTGGATGGTCTCCAATTAATAGACAATGTCTGTAATTACATAGAGGTCCCTTCAACTATTAGCTTATTCACAAGCTCACAGTAACAAAAAAAGGTGTTTGTGTAGCATTTACTGGGACATTTATACTTCCTTGACTAATTTATACTTTTATACTTTTATACTGAATTAGCCAGAGAAGATATTAACCTCACTTTATTCATGGTGAAACAGAGAGGGTGTGTGTGTGTGCAAAACGGGAGTGTAGGCCAGAGATGCAGGGTGGAAGGGAGGGGGTGGTGAATGGTTTTTATCCTTGGTTGTATTAGTTTTCTAGGGTTGCTGCAACAAATTGTCATGACCCTGGTGGCTGAAAACAACACAAAACTTATTCACAGTTTCATAGGTTAGAAATTTGTCACAGGTCACACAGTAATAAAATCAAGGTGTTGACAGGATTGTGTTCTTTTCTAGAGGCTCCAGGGCAGAATCTGTCCCATGCTTTTTCCAGTACTAGAGACAGAGACTGCCCACGTCCTTTTTTTTTTTAAGTTTTCTTTTTTTTTTTTTTTTTTAAGATTTATTTTTATTTTTATACAAGATCCGGGATACAGGCCAGATGCGCGGGAGGGTGAGAGGATTCACCAGAGACAGAGCAGGGAATACAACAGGCAGACTGATGAAATACACTGCTGAGGGGAGCAGCGGGCGAGACAGGAGAGGTCTGCTTCACCATGTGGGATTCTCACCCGCCGACCAGGATCGAACCTGCACTGCAGAGGCTGTGGACAGATTCACAGTGCGGCTCTCATCTGCCTGCGCCACCAGGAAGACCCACTGCCCACATTCTTCATCTTGTTGCACCTTCCTCTGTCATGAAAGCCAGCAACAGCAGTTCAACTCATCTCATATCCACCACTCTGGCCTCCTCCTCTGTCTCCTACTTCTACTTTAATAGACCCTAGTGGTTCCATTGAGCCCATCTGGACAATCTAGGATACATTCCCTACCTTGAGGTCATCTGACTAGCAACCTTTATTTTATTTGCAACTGTAATTCCCCTTGGGCCTATAATCTAATTTATTCATAGTTTCCAAGCATTCAAATGGAGCACCTCTGGGGTCCATTGTTCTGCCTATTATGGGGACTCATTTATGTTTGAAATGAAGGGATGAAAAAAAAAGAAGAAGCGTAGAGGTCACCACTCTGTTCTAACTAGTAAAAAGCTGCAAAAACATTGATTAGTATAGGTAGTTGGAGTGACTCTCCTCAATGGACTCTAGAACTATTTATGTAACAGGGAAGGGGAGAGTTGACTGTTGATTTTTAGGTAAGTCGGTTGGGCATAGCTTCCTGTTCTGTTTTGTTTCTCTTCTTTGGTTGAGAAAGTCCTGAAGTAAATTAGGTTTTCCTTCACTGTCTCTGTAGTTCCATCATTTCCTTTTAAAAGTGGTATGGGGCTGGTGGCGCAAGGGCTTAAGCACAGCACTGTGAAGCTATCCTGCAGCCTCTGCAGCATGAGTTAGATCCCTGCCTACCAGGGAGCTACCTTAAGGTCATCCCACATGTCTCACCTCCTGCTCCCATCAACAGTGTATTTCAGTCAGTCTGCCTGTTTTGCTCCTCACTCTGTCTCCAGTGAATCCTCTTACCCCCAAACCTTTGGCCTGTACCCCATTTCTTGTATGCATAAATAAATAAATCTTAAAAAAATTGCCTTTAAAAAACTAAAAGTGGTATGTAATGACTCCGTTTTGCATATAAAGTAAATTTCTAACTCTTGAACATGGCTGACAAGCTTTTCCATAATATTGCATTGCCTTCTTTTCAAATGTCATTATTATTTCCAGCTTGGATGAGATACAAAATACTGAATACCTGGTATGAGGTAGTTTATATATCAGATATATCAGTCTGCAAAAACAAAAAAGCAGACTTACTTTAGTTAGTGTAAGCAATAAAGAAATTGGCTAAAGAACATTACAGTGTCTAGGAGGACTGAAGAATCAGGCCTGGAGGTTAAGGAACAGAAACGATGCCCAAATTACAATCCTGAATGTTTTAGTGCTTGAATACAGGCCTGGACATGGGATGCAACTTCTGGGCTCCCAGCCAGTGCTGCCTCTGTGGGCAGAATCCCTCCTTACCACCCTCGCTGCAAACTGCTCTTCCTGGCACCTCTTTGCTCCTGTTACCCTTCTGAATTGGTAATTTTCCTAAGTATTTCTACAGAGAGAGTTCAATTCCCATATATATACCCCGACTGCAAAGAAGGAGTTTCTGGGTTCTTTATTGGGAATTCGGGGATTCAAATGGTAGGGATCTCTTCAGATATATGAAGGGTATTAAAAATTTACCAAATGTTCATTCCAGTAGGTAATCAACAAATAGCACCTCTTTCTCCCAGGGAAAAAGCACTATACCATGCTATCATGTGTAAAGGTCAATGTGAAACTTTAGTATGAAAAATTTGAAACATATGCTAAATTTTAGATTTTACCAACTGCAGATTAATCCTGTTTTAGCTTAAGGTATTTATTCCAGCATTTCTCTCTCGTTTCGATGTGTGGCAGCAGAATGAAAATGGATTACTCGGAGTCCATGTCCAGAACAAGGAGAAGCCTAGAGGGGCTGCACCAAGAAAGTGCAGCCCAGCTCCAAGGGCAGTCTCGCTTTTATTTACAATCAGAAAATAAAAAAATCAAAAAAGCAAGTAGGCAAATGGGGAATGCACAAGTGTATGGGGGATGTGTCACTAGCTGCACCAGCCAAGGTTGAGAAATAAAGAGAAAGCCAAGGAAAATCTCAGTGTTTATGCTACTATTGCCATAACACCTGGCGCTGTTTCTGCACATGCTGTTTTCAGCTTGTATAGATCCTCACACCAGGACATTTGCCCTGAGAGGTTCTTTTTCAACTTTCCGTTTCTGCACACTGAGAGGCACAGAATAGTCAAAGCAAAGGATAATCAAGGCAAGGACACAGAATAGTTGAGGCACTTAATAATACAAATTCAAATACATTTCCCTCTGATTATTTTGAAGCAAATCCCAAATATTAATTCTTCCTTAATGAATATTTTAGCACATATCTCTAAGAGATGAGACTTGTTTGTGAATTTTTGCAATCCAATGTTGTTGATTTACTGTTCATTTATAAAAGGACATAATTTCAGAAGTATAGCTTTATACCTTGTTACATGTGTATACTTCATTTGCCCACCTCTGTCCACAGAAAGTAGCTGCCATAGACGAATTGATCTAATGCTCTGGGCAATCTTCAAAATGCTGAAGTCTCAATCAAAATATATTATGACATATACCAGAGCGCATATGCTAAATCAATACTGGCCAGGAAATCTTGGGTATGAGTGCCTGGAAGCATCAAGTGCAGTATTTCACTTTGCCTAGATCAAAAACTTATCACTTCAAAAGGAAGACTCGAATTTCCCAAGTATGGCAAACTCACCTGGGATGCACAATATCGTTGGAGTGATCAGGTGCTTGGCATTCTTTGTATAAGTCATTTGATAGAGACATGACTATCAGAGAAAACTGTACTACTGATTAAGAAGCTCAAATTTAAG